TATTCTGTTATTAAATGTATTCCCACTTTTTTGTATATCAATTTCTGTTACTCTTATCCAGGTTCAACGAAGTCTTCCACTTGATCTTTTACCCTGTGGATTCCAATTCAAAACTTTCTCTGTTATACAGCTGTCTGACTTCCTGAGAGTATGCCCAATCCATCGCCACCGCCTTCTTCCTACCTCATCTCTGACTGGGATCTGTCTTGTTTTCCTTAACACTTCCTCGTTGGTGACCCTGTGTGTCCATCTGATCCTCAGTAGCTTCCTTAGACACTTGTTCAAGAAAACCTAAATCCTCTTCTTGCAAGTCTGTGATGGGTTCCATGTCTCACAACCATACAACAGGACTGACTTCACATTTTAATTAAAAGTCCTCGGCTTTGTTCAAAGTGAGGTATCCTTTGTCCTCCAACTCCTGTTCAAAGATATGAAAGCAGCTTGTGCCTTTCTGGTGTGGGGCTTTATTCCAGCTCCTGTTCCCCCCTCTGTGTCAATTATACTCCCAAGATAACAGAGGGATAATACATTCATTGTATCTTTTTTTGCCCAATATTACAGATGCAGAATCAAAGCATTCCTTTTCAACACTGAACATTTTTTTTTCAATGTCCTTGAATGGAAAAATAAGTTACATTTTAAAAATTGGTCGCGCAAGCTACACAACTAAACCAGCTATCCACATAGAACAGTTAAAGCAATGGCTTTGAATTACTTTAAGAAATGAAAATAAGAAAAAACACGCCTGTCTGTCTGTCTGTCTGTCTGCCTGCCTGTCTGTCTGTCTGTCTGTGTGTCTGGCTGTGTGTCTGTTTGTGTGTCTGTTTGTGTGTCTCACCTGAGAACGAAGAAAGAATCAACAGCGACAAAGCCGTTAGCCAGTCCCTGGAATGTCCAGTTCTGGGACGAGAGGGCAATGTACTCCACTAAGTTTGCTGGGGGGGGGGGGGGTTGTAGAAATGGTGAGAATATCCTTAGAAATATAGAACTAAGTGCAGGTCTAAAGTGAATGACGAAAATATTAACTCAAACTTGCCGAAAACACCGTTTTAAGTAGATTTTTTAAAAATCGCCTTTAATTGGTCGCTTTTAAGCACCAGGGGGCTGTCGCGAAAAATGCTGTTTTGAGAAAATCGAAGGTAAAGTTTTTGTCTTTTGTTCAGTTTCTTTAAAAGACAAGGACAGTTTTCTCACAACCTAACACATATTCACACCAATGACACAAAACTTCTCCTATAGATAGGGCAATGCCCATTTTTGGTGTAGGTCAAGATTTCCGGAAACCCCCGACATCTGGGTACGCCCGCTTGTCCTTG